ATGCGGCAGACACCTTCTGGACAGATTCTGTTTACGTTACTGTCTTTCATTTTGCTTACATGCCAAATATGTGTTAGCGCATGCGTAATATCTGCCGATAGGAATAATAATTTGCCCAACTTATGCGTTTAAAATAGAGTGGGGATATTTTGTGAACAGATGTCTGTGGTAAATGTCTAACACATGACATATCTTTATGAATATCAACACGCCTAGCATGTGAGGTACCCGCAGGAGAGATACCTTCTGGATACAATCGGTCTACGTTATTGTGTTTTAGTGTGCCTTGCAGACCAAGATATGTGTTCGCGCATGCGCACTATGTGCAGAAAGGATTACGATTTTGCAAAGATTATGCATTTAAAATGGAGTGGGAATATCTGAGAGTATATTTATATGATAAATTCCTATTACACGACCTCTCTTTATGAATAAGAACACGCCCTAGCATGTGAGGTACATGCGGCAGATACCTTCTGGACAGATTCTGTCTACGTTATTGTGTTTCAGTGTGCTTTACAGGCCAAGATGTGTTTGAAGTACCCGCGGCAGATACCTTCTCGACAAAATATGGCTGTGTTTCTGTATTTTAGTGCGCTTTGCAGGCCAAGATATGTGTTCGCGCATGCGCAATATCTGCCGACAGGATTAATATTTTGCCGCTGTTATGCATTTAAAATTGAGTAGGGATATCTGAGAGTAGACTTCGATGGTAAATGTCTAACACATAACTCATCTTTGTTTAAAGGAACACGCCCTAGTACGTGAGGTACCGGTTGCAGATGCCTTCTCGATACAATCCTCGCGCATGCCCAATATCTGCCGATAGGATTATAAGGTTACGCATTTCAAACGGGTGATGTAGGTTTAAGTACGGTGGATGTAGCTACAAAAATCAATGAGAATGAAATGTCAAGCACACGTAATAATAATGTATTAAAAAGAGCATAACGCAAGCGTCATCACTGCCGTATTTTACGGTCTGTAGACGAGGAAAGCAGAGTTGCTTTTTAAAGTGACTAATAATTTGGTCGACCGACGACGTGACACTGTAAAATACTTCCACGGACTGCGGAAGAACTTCAAAAGACTCGGTTAATCGATTAAACCAACTCAATAAAGTCAACAACTAAGCAGGCACAAATGAGACGCAATGCACCGGACCTTTATTGACTCATGGCACCATCTAGCGGACAGTATTTAGAAAATACAAAAATATACTCCATGCACATTATGGGCAACCAGACATAGTACGTAGCTTCTTGTATTGCAATAAGCCTATACACGAACATGAGAGAGCCTAATATATTTGAATGGCATATATAAATGGAATTTCAATAAAGTTCTATAGGCCTACCTGTGGCAGTTGTGGGCAGTAGACGAAGCACGTGGGGAGGTGGCTGAAGCAATGCATTTATTATTCCCATTTATTTCATAACGGACCAGTTGATTCTTGTAGGTGGATTGGAACTGCCGAGTTGTTAGGCTGTTGATTGTCCCATTGGCTAACCCCTCTACGCAAAAGAACATTTCACTGTGGTCTTGTTAGAACTTGTAGCTGAGAAATTACATATGCTTGGACTCATCGCACTTATTTAAGTTTAAATAAATATAAGTAGTTCTTCTCTTCCTACTGGTGTGTTCTTTCAGCCGTCTGCAGGGATCGAATTAACACATATATACAATATGGGCGCCATGAAACCCCAGAATACATTCTTTTGGAAACATCTCTATTTCGAAGTATCTTGCTTGAGTGATTTTAAATGCTCTATAGCTCATGGTTTTGGGACGTAAGGGATCGAATATAATTAAACCATCACCTAATCGAAAATGCAATGCTGATCACAACATAGTTTCACACGTACGCACGCACGTGCGCACGTACGCACGCACGCACGTACGCACACACGCATGCATGCACGCACACACACACGCGCGCGCGCACTCACGCACGCACGCACGCACGCACGCACATGTTTGCGTGCCGGTGTCTGCAAGAAATTCGGAGAAAAAAACAAATTCGTTTGCAACATTACATGTGTATATGCGCATGCATAGTACCGGCTCCTTTGCCCCCTGTTCCGCGTTTGCCCTACGGCGATCCTTCCACACATGGCGGCTCACGTAGAGAAAGGAACTGGCGGTCGGTCACGCCATCTGATTTTACACGGAAGGCGGCGCATTCGCTTTGCGCCATTGTAAACTACGGTCGTGTATCTGCGATATTCATACAGGACATTTCTGGAAAATCCAAGCGCAAGAGGTGATAATGGAACATCACCTTTGGCACGGTTGCGTCGTCTGAGAGAAAGGTACAGTAGATGTTCATAGTTTATGTTATGAAATATAATCGCGGAATATCACCAAGATATAGTCGCAGCACAGCTACCTATTAGCGGGTGTAGTATACGTATAGCCTACGTACATGATTACTCACCTAGAATTTTTAATGTCCTATATGTTTGCATGAATATTTAGTAGCTCTGTCGACTATACCTGCAGGTAAACCTATATCCTGTGACGATATTACGTATAGTTATACAGCCTATATCACATTGTTGTCAAGTCAATAATTCATTGGCTCGCTCAGATTTGAGAAAATGTGAATTATATGTACGTACGTTAGTATAATATACTTGGGTATATGCAATGAATAACATCATCCCAGGACGAGTGGGTCATTCGCATACAAATGCTAAGCGAGTTTGCCTAAAGCTAATGTTAGATTGAGTCACTGTTCTGTGGACCGACGTTTATGCTTCCTTGCCAAAATGTGCTGTAATAGGAACCGTAAAGAAGTGATAAAACACAAGAAATGTGCACGTGCATGCTATGCTATCAGTGGAGTAGTCTCGAAGTCTCCTCAAACTCGCCTATAATGTTTAGTAGGTAATATCAGAAGTGCATAATTAAAATTATTATAATAAATTTCAGATGATATGTAAATCACGGTGTTGCTGTGTCAGGAGATGACGCGTTATATCTACAGTATAATCGTCGGTCGGCCATTACATCGAACGTTACTATTATAATATAATTATCATACGACATATTATCGTTTGTTGTTACATCGTCGTAACCCCACGCACGCACGCACACACACACACACATACGCACGCACGCACGCACGCACGCACGCACGCACGCACGCACGCACG